GCTGGAATCCATGTTCTCTGTGGGGGTAGCTCAAATGGCACAGAGTTAACTTGGAAACTTAAAAGTGAAAAGTATTTATGTTAATTTTCATTGATGGTAAGCAACTAACCCCACCTCCAGGGCAACTAATCATACTAGCTTTCGGGATAGGAAAACGGGTTTCTTTAAATGGCCCTTTGACTTTGTTTTTACAAAGACATCTGTCCATTTCCACAATAATCCTTTAGCTCATACAGCTCCTCGTTCCTAGAATCAAGAATTTATGGCAAAAGGCATGTATGTGCCTTTCCCTATGTGTAACTTTTGAATCCCTTGGTCAAATTAAGTAGGGAATAGAGTCATAGGGTAAAGGGCAAACGTGTACAGATTTAGTGACTGTCGGTAGCTGGCCAGAAAAAAGGGACTCCTATTAAAGCTTAAGTGTGGAAATGACATTGATGGTCACTCCCCTTTCTAGGCTGAGACCACAGTCTGCTATCTAATCAACACATGTAGCTCCAAATCAGCTATAACACATGCTGTCATTTGCACAGGCCAATAAATGAGCACATGGAAGGGAACTGAGGGGTCCTGTGATTACAAAGGAAAGTGGTTGTTATTGGGCGATGTAATTGGGGGATCCGTAGGAAACCAAGGTTCATCAGTTGTGTTGTTCATGAAACGGGCCATTGACCTTATACATATTGGTTCCCTAAATCCCCACCCATTCTTTGAGCACTGGAAGAACAATAGGCAGAATATCAACCTAATGAATCACTGACTGTGTCGTCCGCATTTTCCTTATTTGGGCAGCCTTTTTTTGCTCAGGTATGTTGAGCATCCATAAAGCAGCTAGGCACTGAGCTCTCAGACACTCAGACAGGTGTCTCAAAAGACATTTAGGAGCCTTCCTCCAATGTTCATCAACTGAAATTTTAAAATAAATCTAAAGAATTTAGATGTAGGACTTGGGACCGGATTCCTTTAGGCTTCTTTATTCTCTAAAGCCAAGATATTAAAACGATCTTGACTAAATTAGGGTAATTAGATTCCTTCATCTTTCCCCCTGGAGCGTATCTATTATACCAGTCTAATGAGTATACTATTCAGCCACGTCAGGGATCTTTGTTAATTTAGTGGGAATAAAGAATTAATCATCAGTATCTCTTCTAAGAAGCTTATGTTTACCATCAACATGCCCAGTAGATGTGCAGATGTTAGCTTGATGTGAAATTATAGTTACACATCGTCTTGCACTTGGCCAGTTGATTAACTCATGTCTTATTGGCCTTTGGGACTGCACTTGGCACAATGTTAGAGATTTCAAGATGTCCTGGTATTTGTTTACTGAATGTGGTTGGGATAACATACCGAAGAGAGAGAAGCACAATTCATGCTTCAGATTACTTGTACTCTTGTAGCTGTGAGATGCTCTTTAGGCACAATTATTCTCTGCAGTAGTGTAAAGCCGCACCTCTCATTGAAGTATTTGGGACAAAACCCTGTATCAACTGAGGCAGCATTGTCAGAGAGCTCTCGCAGTTGAAGTACTGGGTAAGCTGGGACTTCTTTCTACTGCATCCTTACTTTTTGATTTATGTAGCAGCCATTAGAGCCTTAAAGCCAGCAGTCTACTGGGGTGTCATTTTTGTCTGGTTATAGCACAAAATTTGCACGAGTCAGAGGACTACTTTATTCTCTCCTTTTGTCATTTTAATTTGCAGTCAAGTGCCAAATCAGACAAAACAGTTTCATTTATTGTATGTGTGTCTGGGTGTGTGCATGCACGCATGCACGCGCGCACACACACACACACACGCACGCACGCACACACACACGCACACAGAGATTGTGTGCTTCATGTTTGTCTTTGGGAGAAGTAAAATATATTGTAGACTTTTTACTCAGTTCTTTTTCATTGAAGTATATTTGAAAGGCATTTTGGAAGTGAAGCTTCTATTTTCTTTCAGTGTTTATGTCTTTTCCCTATTGTTCTTCAAGTGCCAACATCTCATCCGGATTCAACAGGAGCCCAGTAAATGAATCCTGACTGTCCTGTGGCAAGAACTCCAAGATGGGCTGAGTCCAAGGAAGTCTTGAGACTATTAGCAGTGTTTAACAGTGCTTTCAACACTGTTTTCAATTAAAAAGTCAAATGAGAAGATTTACATTGTGGTTTGTGAGAAATGTTGATAGTTGGTAGTTTGTAACTGAATATATTGATTTTTGTGTACAGTATTTTGAGGGGAAAAAACATAGGCTAACCTAACGCCTGCCACAATTGTTCATCTATAAATATTTGCCTAAGAGAGTATTATGAAATATAGAGATGCTAGATAGATGCCTTTTTCCAAAAAAAGATGTTATTATTTATTCCATCAGTGGCACAGTTATTTAGAGATATTGAAGCAGTATCTTGGAGTAGCATCATCTAGAGGTATTCCATCAGATTAATGAAAAGGATGAGGTGTAAAACCTCTCTCCTGCTTTAAAATGTCATCTGCTGAGTCACTGGCAGTTGTGCTCCTACGTGTCCTTTGGGCTTTCGATCAGCTCCTTCATGTTCCTTTATGTGGACTAAGAAGGCCCAGACTTTGCCAGCCTTGGATGATCAGCCACACCTTTTACACTTGCTTTCCTCAGGAGTTGTTTACTAATGTCGGTAGCGCTACAGCGATGCGAGGTAAATGGGTACAGGAGCTGATTCAGGCCTGGGGTGTCCAGAGCACAGCTTCAATAACAAAGAGCATCATTAAAACACTGACACTCTGTCAGTTCTTCCACTTAAACCTTGCACAGATATCTTGGATCTCTTTCTACATCTGTGGCTGGTTTTTTAATTTTGTTTTGTTTTGGAAACTGAACAGCTCCTCTCTCTCTCCACCTCTTTTTTGCCACTTCCCCATTGACCATTCTTTCATGACAGATCGTTAGGTTTATGGGCCAATTTGTTCCTGGTGCAAACCCACTGAGTACAATGTGGTTATATCAGGAAGAGACTTGGGACATTTTTACTGTACTCAGTCACATGGGCAGTGCGAGGCAGAGAGCCTTCCCACGCAGAGTATTTGCACAATGCTTTCCTGGAATTTTAGGGTGAAACACATCCAAGCCTGCCATGCTCCAGGCATTCCTCCAGTGAGACAGAGCTCTGCTTGCTTGATCGCATTAGCCAGAATAGATCAGCAGTGACAATCCCCCAGCTGGATCACTATAGGTTTGCCTTGATCTTGTACTTGTTGACCATCGTGCAAGACAAGATATGGGCTTCATAGACCTTTGCTTGACCCAGATGAACTATTTTTACCTCTTTTTTAATGCCCCTGATATGCTTCAGAACAGAGCATTTGGGGACATGCCAGGAAAATTGATTTGGAGGTATGTGAAAAGGAATCTGAAGAACATTCCTGAAGCACAGCTTCTGCCAATAATTTGTGATGACAATTAGCACTGTTTGAGAAATGTCTGCCGTGATCAGCTATTACTTGACCTGCTAGGCCAAATGGAAGTAAACAGATTATTTCCTAGCTATGTCACTCAAGCTTTCTTTTACCTTTCATTGTTATCCCAGGGTCAGATTGGGTTTCTGAAGTACGGCCACATATCCTGCCTTTGTTTTTACTGGGTAGGATGCTCAGGGCTGCATCCTCAGAAACCGAGGGACTCATCCTCTTCCCTCTTCATGATGTATTCAGTTAGCAGTTGTGGAGAAACTTAGTATGGAAGATCCCCAGTGGTTTTGCTTGTTTACAATAGAGGGCACATGGGAGCAAACCAATTGCTGGTTATCAGCTGCTGAAATCAGGGCTGATCCCCCAACATAAACAAGCGCGTAGGTTCTTAAACCACCCAAGAAGTGGAGGCCTACTATTTCTTTAATACTGTATTAATCCATAGTTTGAAGGGTATCACTGATTTATAACATTTTTTTTTAACTTGCACCAATCCCAAACTCTGGGCAATCACGCTCTGGGGAATTTCTTTTCTATTCTGTTCTCTTCCTGAGTATTTCAGACACATTTCTTCATTCCAGATAATCTTGCAAAGGGAATTTCAGCTTCCTGGTTCCTCCTCAAGTCAAATCCTGCCTTTATCCTTTTGTAGTCAAATGCCCAAATGAAATCTATACAGAGGCTTCTGGGGAACAGTTTGGAGTGAGACACAGTTAGGGGAACCTTGTGCCCAGAAAAAAGTAAATGGATCATGAATCTAGAACACGTACAACACGCTTAATATGCTTGAGGCTCCTTCCCTGGAGATATTCAAAGGCTGTCTGGACACACTCCTGGGCAACGTGCTCGAGGTGACCCTACTTGAGCAAGGTGGTTGGACTAGATGATATCCAGAGTTCCCTTCCAACCTCAATCATTTAAAACCCAGTATGTGAGAGAAACACAATGGAAACTGCTGAGAAATGGAAATGACAGATGATGAGGTGTTTATTTTTCCAAGGCCTGATTTATTTATTTACTTGCTCAATCCTCATGAGGATATATTGTGGTGATAAAGTCAACCAAAACTTCCTCAGCTGTCTCGCTTGGTCAGTATCCAGTGCATTGCTGGTGGTGATCAAAATTTCCCTCTTGTCATGGGGAAAGCCGATGGAATGAGTTTTTTGTTTTGTTTTGTTTTCTCTATGGTGTGGGTGATTAAAAAAAAGCACAACTTACTACCTTTCAGTGATTTTGGTTAAGATGGCCTGCGGGTCAGATTTGTCAGAACTGTCCTCTTGCCAATGAGTGTAGTTGAATTTCATCAAATCTGCTTTTGTAATAGAGCACCACTTATCCCTTCTATAAGCTATGCCTAATGGAGTATCGTTTTTACTCATATAATGCGTACAGTCACACAGTTTATACTGGGCTTCATACTTCATTTCCTAGCATCCTCCTCTCTTTTCTTCTCAGTGAGTTTGTTTGTTTGTTTGCTATTTGTTTAGTTAGGCTTTAGAACTATGAAAATCAGAAGATTCTCTGCTTATACGGGCCTATCTTTGTGTTTGCTTTCAGTTTCAGGAAAAAAATACAGCTGTGAGTACCCATCACAGACTGCTAAAAGCACAGAAATAGCCCTGCTGTCCTGAGATGAGCACTCACTCTTCTTCATTCCTCTGCTTTTTGAAGTGTTCCAAGGTCTCCAGTTGAGTTGTCAAGTATATCATTCAATAAGGTGAGGTTTAATTGGATTTACTCGTTGTGCTATGTGGCCAATCTTTAAATAGAAGCGACAATCCCATGACAAAAGTTCTCTGATAAATTTTAGGTATTGGAGTGCATGTGAGTTTGAGCTGGAATCTAGAGCTCTGAATGACATTGGTAATGGATATTAACAACTTCATTTGAATAAATACGTTTAATTGCACTCGTAATCAGTGATGGAATAAACAGCCCTACCTAATGTTTATGAATTAAAGGCACATGCAGGAAAGATTTATACCACAGTCATGAAACAAACCACGCATAAAAATAAGTAGGGGAGAAAGACTAGCAGGTAGTCACCTAAATACGGGCTGTATCAGAACGCCCAGTGTACAAGGATGTGTTAACATTACGTAGGTATTTCTTAAGAGCTTAATCTTTGACTTTGCCAGCCAAAAGATATTCTTTTAATATAGGGAATTATAGCAACAAGCTGGCTTATATTTTGAAGTAAAACCAAGAAATAAAAATCCCATAATGTGACGTTAGATTGATACCCATATGGGACTAATCCAGGATAACCCCATATCTTGGGCTTTAGCATTGGAACCTGCATTCATTCTTGTCTCTCACTGTGCTGCATTGATGTCCTGTGTTTCCTCCCTTTCTCCACCTCTACCTGGTTCCTTATTGTAATCTCTGACTAGCCTGCTTTGGTTTCTCTTCTTCCCTTGCTTTTGGCTGTAGCAAATAGGAAATAACCCTGTACCATCTAACTTGATTCTGATTCTCAGGCTTTTTTTTTTTCAAACTGGCTTCCAGCTCCATTCGATTTTTCTATACTGTTCCAGTCTCCCTTCCCTTCACTCATTTTGCTGTTCCTTTCCATCCTCTCTAGTTTGTCTTTTCTAATTCTTTTCCCTTTCCCACTTGGGCTCTTACCTTTTTTCTGTTCTCGTCCAAAAGCTTTCTCCTCCGTACTGCTTGGGTATGATTAAGTGAGCAGTTGCATAGGTGATGAGGCTACCCAGGTCCAGAGTAACTAGGAGCCTCAACTGTAGAAAAATAGTTGTATTTTTTCTCTATGGTTAGCCGGAGCATATTCAGTTGTTCTTTGAGGAAGGGGCAGAAACAGTCTGAACACAGACTGTAGGGCTCTGTGGAGTTGGAATGTCCACAATGAAATTACACCAGGGATAAAATTATTCAGTGTGCTCAGCTTGCAGCTTCATTAAAAATGCCGGAAAGACAGAAGACAAAATTATTTATGTAGAGTACACTAAATCTTGTCTCGCCTAACACCTCCATAGCCTATAAATGGCTCCCTTTTTAGGATTCAGCGTGGGCTTACTGTAGAACTTAATGGCTGAGTTACCCAATCATAATGACCTGCTATGTGCATCAGCTGAGCATGATAAAGCACTCATAAAGTGTCTGCAATGTAAGGTATTTAATTCTGACATGTATGCTGCGGTGTTTGGGAAAAGGGAATAGCACTCTTCCACACCAACACGTGGGTAGTCTTAGGTGGGTGACTGAGCCATTGATGGAATAAAACTCCTCACAAAAGGTGACAGATTTCTCACTGAGTCCTACATCGGATATCTCAAAAAGCTAACATAAATTTATCTGGTTTTATAAAAGTGCCAGTTATTGCTTTTATTAGAAAATATGTTACATATTTGTAAAATATTATCCATTTAATTCTTTGCCTTTTTAGGGGGTCTCTGAGTGAAGAAGGTAGTTATGTTCTGCTTAAAAACTATGTACTGCAAACTTACACTGTGAGTCAATTTTTCAGAGTAAATTTGTAGGCACGTGCTTAACACCTGCATGTAGAGTGGCTCATCTGATTTTAGTGGTGTGAGGTCAGACTCTTGACTCCAGAATTATTCAGATGTCTTACATTTTTTCCCTTTATGTTTGTAAGGATCCTATTTTCACAAGGTGCTTTCTAGTTCCCTCTCATAAAGAGCACAATTCCTTAGCAGGGAGGACTACTTTGTCTTAGTACCTCTGGGCCACGCCAGTGCTGGCACTGCTTTTTCTCTTACTTTTCCTACCCTATTCTTTTCCTTCTGGGTCTCATGCACTGGAGACAGACAAGGTAATGCAGGAAATATATTACGGAAGCACTCAAGTAGTAGGGAGTACCTGGGATTGGGACCTCATTGCCTCAGGTATACTAGCCTAGAATAAAACCTGTTGCTGTTCGGCGGACTGGTCTAGCTTATGAAAGGTTTCTTTGTGTGCTTATCGCTGGATAAGCAATCTAGAGAAACAAAGAGACAAGGTACAGAGGATGTTCAGGAGCAAAGAACTGACTTAGCTTCCCAAGTTGTGTCGTGATAGATCACTTGGTCTGTTTAGACTGAAGTTTCACAAAGTGAAAGTGGAAGAGGTGACAGGGAGAAGAATAGCCCAACTGTTGCCCGTCTAGGTACAACTGTTGACACTAGAGCTGGTTCTAGGAATAGCACTTCCATCTCTTCTCTGTTTGTGCATCCAATTGCCATCTGTCACAACTCTCTCCTGCCCAGCTTTAAATTTAATGACCATTTTGGGGAAGGAGACGTATATAATCTTTGTTTTCTAAGCCCCTCTAGTTAGCTCAGGCCTCTGACCATGACTTCTGGTGTTTCTTTGCCTTGTGGTAGCACTTACTGAGCCACATATAATATCTATATACTTGCAATGGTTCTATTTCTTTGTTCTATGATTTATAGCATACTCTGAGGCCAGATACAAATGAGATGGCGGTTGAGGGAGAAGAAGGGGCTACCCCCTTGCTTGCGTAGCATGAAATGTGCACTTCTTCATACAGGGGATCACTCCTAAGCACTGCTAGGTTGAGAATACCACACGTAAATCCCAACCTATTACCAATCCTTTGGTCAATTTAATCCTGCATTCACAAGCTCAGTGCTGTTTACATGTGAGGCAAATGTGTTCCCTTGAGGGAGAGGGGGAAAATTCATGCTTTCTGATAAAGCAATACAAAACAGTCTTGGCACAAGGTTTTCTGAGTGTACGAGACTCCTATCATGCATGGTTAGAATATGATAGCTGAAAGATAGTAACTTTGCACTTGATGAAAAAACATATTGTAGAGCTTAATGAAATTTCATCATGCACATTTAATTGGTTTCAGCTAAGGAGGCCTTTTCCAAGCAAATATAGTTATTAATCTAATTAGTGCTTCAGCTAATATACTGAAATTATATTTGTATATCAATACATCAGACAAATATTTGTACAAGATAGGCATTTCAAAGACTACCTAGCTGAAATGAGTAAATTAACTTCTTTGATTATAAGGGCCTTGTTTCCTACAGCTGTACTTTGCAGTTGAGATTTTCCAGTGTGAGTGCTTAAGGCTGCTAAGTTCACAGTTAATCCAAAATAGTTGTCTTTTCTTTTTTTCCCCAGATAGCTATCTTTTGGACAACTGAGCAACAGCTCATGTTGACTCCACAGTCTGCCTTTTGTGAGGGCCTTGCTTAGGGATCTAAGTCACTGTGTCCTTGCACAGCATGGCAAGAGCCTTTTGGAATGGGGCATTTGTTGGCCTTGTACTACTACCCTTTCTGGATAAACTGAAGCTGAGTGGCGGGTGCTCAGCACAACACGTTCTAGCACCTTGCTCCTCTTACTATCCGGCCTCTGAGCTAACTTTCTTTTTCCCTGATGCAACCAAGATGGTGTTGGGTAGTGGATATCATTCCAGGATGGGGCCAGGACAAGGCTGAGGCTGGGACCTGGAGGCTCAGAAGCATTCCAGGGGTTGCTACTGTGCATGTAGTACAGTACATGTAGTACATCTGTTTTCTCCAGTCTCAGGTGCTACTGAATGGCTTTCAGTGGATGTGTGCGTAAGGAAAAATAATGATACATGGTCAATTATAGGTCCCCACTTGGCCCTTGTGTCTACCTCTATACGTACTCAGAGCTTCACTGAGACTGCACTGAATTTGACCCAGTGCCCATTCAGATCTGTGGCAAAGCTCTCAGTGGAATGCAGAATCAGGCACATAGGTCTGGATTCAAGTTTGGTAGTTGTCTGTCCAGAACCACCTTGAGTGCAATCCACATTTTGGTGTCTGGCACTTTAGCATTTCTGTACAATAATTAAGGGGAGTTAGGCACTTCAGAATGGGATCCAAAACAGTTAGCAGGCTCATGAAGTGCCAAGTATCAGCTAAAAGAAACACTAAAGACAAGAATATATCTGAAGTCTTACCACTCTCTTTGGCTGGAGCACTAGACCTGACACTCAAATCAAACTTGACTCTGTGCACCCATCTGATGTCCTGAAGTCTCTCCTGCTCTCAGTATCCACAGTTTTGGTCCCAAAGTGTTGAATGAGGCTCAATCCTTCTCTTAAAATTTGGCTAAAAGAACTGTATTCTCACATTTTACACCTTAGTGTCTGGAGCTTGTCCAAGATGTGGGAGATCCAAGTTCAGTTCCCAGCTTTCCTTGAAGTGTTCTTACCATTGTCTCCCATCTCCTAGGGAAGGGTGAGAACATTCTCCACTGCTCTTGTTAAAACTATTCTACTAGTCAGGTAATAACTCAAGAGAGCCACTGGGAGCATGTAGTGTGTATGTAATCTCGTGGTTAGGGAACTCAGCCAAGGAGGAGGAATCCAGGATTTTGATCCCTGCTTCTGAGACTGTTCACATATTTTATTGCTTGACATAAAGCTCAGGGGAACAAAGACCAGATCTCAGGGCTCCCCTCAGGTCTCATTCCGTCCAAGTCCCACCTTTGGTACCAAAGTCCTTTATCAGATCTCTGACAATTTTGGAATTCCAAAGTTTTCACAAAACTGTGAATCTTCCCTGCAACTCTGCCAGGTATTCTACCTGGAAATGAACGGATTCCACCTTTAGATAGAAAGATTACCTATATTTTTCCATTCAACTCTCAACCTTCATTTCATATCTGCTTTAGAGTTGTATGTGAAGTCATTCTATCTTAGAGGGAATTAACTGTTATGTTGAACTTTAGTGTTGTTATGGCAGTTCT